ACCTATTATTCTTAGGTTTGGCCTTTTCACAGCGTCCCATATTTCCTGGATATTTTGTGTTAGAATTTGGCCTTTTCATGGTTTCCCATATTTCCTGGATATTTTGCGTTAGGGATTTGTTGGATTTAAGATTTTCTTTGATCAATGAATCATGTCTCATAGTGTATCTCCAGTGCCTGAGATTTCTCTCTTCCATCTCTTATATTCTGTTGCTTGCATTTATAGTTTCTGATTGTTTACCCAGATTTTCTATTTCCAGCATTCCCTCAGACTGTATTTTTTTTTAGTTATCTCTATTTCCACTTCCATACCTTGCACTATTTGAATTATCTCTTGTAATTTTTGTTTTATCTTTTGTTCCATTTCTTCAAAGGATTTTCTCATTTCCTATTTTAGTGTCTCTATCATCTTCATGATAGGGTCATTCTCTTCTGCTTCATCTGTGTTGGGATGTTCAGGTCTTGCTGGTGTGGAGTCCCTAGACTCTGGTGATGTCATATTGATCTTTCTGTTGTTGGCTGTGTTCTTATACTGTTGTCTACCCATCCATTCTTTCAGTGCATACCGGTGGGTAGAGTCTCTCCCTCTCCTGATGGGTACGCACCAAGGTCCTCTTCCAGTGGATGCAAGCACGTCCAATACTCCTATTGCTCTCCTCTTCCAGTAGATTGTGGTGCGACTAGGGTGCTGGCAGACTCTGGACTGTCTGGGCTGCCTGGATGGGCTCCCCATGTGTGCACAGGCCCCAGGCCACAGGGGAATCTAAGCAAGGCCTCAGATGGCAATCTGGAAACAGTCCCAAGCTTGCCTCCTCCAGAGGTTGGGGGTGGGACTAGGACCCAGGCAGACTCTGGATGGGCCAGTCCCTGGGGTTGGGCTCCCCTGTACATAGTCCCCAGTCCTTAGGAGACCCTCTGTTTATATCTTGCTTTGAGGAGTAACAAACGGCATGAAATATTTTTCCTAAAGTGTGTAGTTAATTGTCAACTGCTTTTTCAACAGGTGAACTATGCCATACAGTTTGAAACAAAACTTTAAAATACTTTCAAATTAATTATTCTGAATTTTGACCTACACTTGTAAATGCTATTAAAAAGTAACATTTTTAAAGAATTAGTTAATCTTTCACATATTCATATAAAACAGAAGCCATTAATAAGGGTATACATTTGAAACCACATAGGCATGAGCTCAGATTTCATACTGTCACCATAGCTAAGTGATTTGGGGGAGAGTATTTAATTTTTGAGCCTTGGTTCCTTCATTTATAAATGAGATAATTAATTACTAATCCATAGAGGCACTGTCCAAAATTAAAGATGTAATCATTGTAGAATGCCTAACACAAAATGGTCTGAAGAAACAAAAGAAATCAGATAAGCAAGAGAGAACTGTGAAAACGTACAGTACTTAATTCATCCCTCAACATATCAAGCATACGCAAGGCATCTGGGTAAAGGGCTTAGGATTCAAAGGCTCATGCTTTCTTTATATAGGACCCTAACATTTTTTATGAGGATTTATAGAACAAATAGAGTAGTGTGTGCAAACATGAAAAGCAGAACAGCTAAGTTTGCTTGGGGAGTTTAGAAATGCTTCATAAGACAAGAAACAGTTGAAATACTGGATGTACAGGAATGTGGTGCTGTGGTGCATTGAATAAGAATGGCCCTCATAGGCTCATCTATTTGAATCCTTACTCACCAGGATTTGCAACTGTTTCAAAGTATTAGAAGGGTTAGGAGATGTGGCTTTTTTAGAGCAGATGTGGCCTTGCTGGAGGAAGTGTGTCACTGGCGGGGGTGGGGGGGGGGCGGCTGTGAGGTTTCAAAAGTCCATGCCTGGCCCAGTCTCTACCCCCTCCACCCAGCTGCCTACTGATCAGGATATAGAAGTCTTAGCTACTTCTCGAGCACCATGTCTGCCTGTGTATGTCAGTTCTCCATGCCATGATAATGGACAAAGCCTCTGAAACTGTGAACAAGCACAAACTACCAACTAAATGCTTTCTCTTGTAAGAATTTCCTTGGCAAATAGGTGGAACTAGAACACATTATCCTGAGTGAGGTAACTGACCCAGAAAAGATTAATGTGACATGTATTCACTCATGTGGGTATTAGCTGATAAGTACATGATAACAAATCTATAGTCCACACACCCAGAGAGGTTAGCTATAAAGGAAGAGTCTGGGAAGACACATGGGTCTCCCTGGTAGTGAGAAATAGAATAGATTTTATTATTGGATTAGAAGATGAGAACAGGAGGATGATATTGGGAGAGGGAAAGTAGATACGGTTTGGGGAGGAAATGGGAATAGGATTTAGGGGTGGTACAGAAATCTAGTGCAGTGGAATCTTCCTGAAATACATGAAAGCAATCATAATGACTTATCTAAATAATGGGAGGGACAGAGTCCCAACTGGCTGTATTTTGTTACCAAATGAAGATTCCAGTACAGTGAGTGGGTTATACTCAATGGAATTGTTTGCCAAAGGGATGCCATAGAAATCCCCAAACAACCAAGGTTATTGCCATAATAATGGCTGCTCTCAACAAACTGGCATCAAGGCCCCATTGCAGAAGACAACACACACAACTCATTGAGAGGTCGAGCAGGGGCCTCCATGGTCTAGTGTCTCTGGTACAGGGAGGAGGTACTCTTCAGGCAACCAAAAGGGAAATGTAAACACGAACCCAGCCGCAAACGCTTTGATCTACAATGCTGTCCTGCCTGCCCAACATGCTAGGGCCATGGTGTCACAAAGCTTGTGTGAGTAACCAACATCTGATTTGGAGCCCATACCCAACACTGATTGGAATATCAAGACTAGATAGCCCAGTGACCTGGCATAAAACCAAATACGACTGTCCTTTAAAAAACAAAGTAGTGATGAAATAACTCCTAATGATATTCTGCTATACCCACAGATCAGTGCTTTGTTCCGCCATCATCAGAGAAGCTTCCTTCTATAGCAGTTGAGACCAAATACAGCCAGACATTCTGCAGAGTGAGAGACCTTGGAACAGACAGCTCTAAACGGGATGCCTCCACTCAACCCCTCCCCTTAGTGCTCCCGGAACCCTTGGAAGAGGAGGTAGAAAAGGTGAAAGAGGCAGAGTAGACAGAAGGCACTGGGAAACACGTCCTTCTAAATCAACTGTGCAAAGCTCATAGGAACTCACAGGAATGGAAGCAGCAAGCACAGAGCCTGCCTGGATTCTGCCAGGTCTTCTGCATATATATTGTAGTTTTTCAAGACAGGGTTTCTCTGTGTGGCGTTGGGGGCTGTCCTGGAACTAGCTCTGTAGACCAGGCTGGCCTCGAAGTCCCAGAGATCCGACTGCCTCTGCCTCCCGAGTGCTGGGATTAAAAGCATAAGTCACCAGTGCCTGGCTCCTTCTACATACATATTAAAGCTCTCAGAGTAGTGTTGTTATGGGACTCCTTGAGCGTATGAACAAGTGGGTCTCTTGTACTTAATGCCTTCTCTGGAATTTTTTCTTTCTGTTGGTTTGCCTTCTCCAATATCCATGTGATGGTTTTGTCTTACCTTATTATATTTTACTTTGACATTATCTCTCTTTGCTAATGAGAGCCCTTCCGGGATCTGTATGGGAGGGGAGGTGGGGAAGAAGTGGGAGGCGTAGAGGGAGGAGAAACTGCAACAGGATGTATTGTCAATCTATTTTCAATAAAAGGGGGCGGGGAGAGTTGCCTTGTTCGTGGTGTCTCTTCATATCAATGGAAATCCCAGGCTAGACAAAGGTTCTGTGGAGAACACATAGGGGAATGTGGGGTAGGGAATGATGAAGACTAACAAGACCCAGCTTTTGTGTAGGGAATTAGATCAGCAGGTTTATTTTTCAACAGCTCTTACTGATCTCAAAGAAAATTCCAATTGTCTGAAGCACCACTTGGGATGGGTCGCCTTTAAGAAAGAATGGATAATGTGCCTCTGTACAGTAACTTGGTTAGTACATTGTGCTTTGTTTAGAATGTCCCAGAACTGAGGACAGGAGAGAAATAACAGGAAGAACTGTTAATTTGGACCTAGGACTCATGATTTCTAGCTCTTGTTTCCCCTATAATTTCGGTGATGGGTTGCCCTTTTCAACGGGAACATCCTGGGATTATTCTAAAAACTTCCCTTCATTAATAACAAGACTGTGCTCAACTTTAGAAGCCGAAAAGAGCATATGCAACTTCTCTATGGAAAATATAACCCTCTAATCTTGTAAAGTGGGGAACAAACCATCCAAATTGTTTGATGTGAAACAAACGAGAGCTTCATGCCACAGCTAAAGTGTCAGAGAGAATTAGGCAGAGAAGGAAAACATCTCAGGCAAAACTCCCAGGAAGAGTAGACCTTGACAAGGTAGATAAGCCCATTGCTGAGGACATCTTCAATGGGGGATGGAGAGATGGGTCAGCAGTTATGTGTGTTCACTGCCTGCAGAGGCTCTGGGTTGGGTTCCTATTGCCTACATTAGGTGGTTTACAACCGCCAGTTCAGGCATCCAACACCCTTTCTGGCCTCCATGGGGACCTGCACACGTAAGACTCACATAAATCCAATGCAAGCATGCACACATGATGAATGAATATCAGTCTTGCTGTGTGTCTGGGAAAACAGGTGAAGCACAACAGTTACTTCCAACACAGCCCCCTGAAGCAAAATTGGGGTGGAACCTAGCGCCAATGGCTGTGGAGATAGAATGAATCCTTGAAGTATGATGACAAACTTCTAATGGCTCATTCATCCAGGAATGAGCTAGTTTCATGATTTGACACCACTGACACTTCTAAAAATGGATCCATCCATCTACCACATAGTTTACACAATAACTCGAGAAATCTTATTTACTATCAGTATTCTCCTCTCATTGTAATCTTCCAAGATTTCACTGATGCATAGTCACTGTGATGGGAAGTCTGAATTAAAGAATAGTTCTTTAGCAGATTTTGTTTCATCAAAGGAAACTATTTTAATCCACTCACCATTCCGTGGTTCAGCCAACCTGGGATGAAGTTGTCAAGCAATTTGGGGTATATCATCTCTCTGTCATAGGCATAGATGGTCCAGAATACTGCGACAACAAACTGGAAGGAAACAGAAATCTTTTGTTTCAATTTCATCTTTTACAAAACATAACTGGTCAGTTATTTAAAAAAAAAAACCCAAGGGAATTTGGAATATATGATAAAACAGCAGTAAACCAACAAATGACTGGAAAAATGGGTCCTGCTTCACTCTGTAGTAGTAACTAAAGGGGTGTCAAGACCCTCTTTGGTTTCCAATGATGTTCATTCAGACAGAGGAGCGTGCTTGAAAGGGAGAGAGAAAAGACCTCTTGCCAAGAAGAACACCATCTCAGGGCTAATTGTGCCAGTCTGATCCCTCTCAACAGGGTTTATAAGTTCACTTAGGGATATTTGCAGAGAGGTCCCACTCCCCCACTAGAAAGAACATACATTCCAAACAATGTCCATCTTCTTTGATCCTGTGAAGTGGTGTATATGCTGTTCATCTCTTCGTGTTTGCTTCTCACCAATACTAGCACTAAACTCACTGCCAACCACAGGTCCCCAGGGCCACATTTAAGGGAAATGTATTAGTTCATAGAGCCTAAGCCAAGGCTTACCAACACTGAGAAGTAGAGTATGTAAAGAGGGAAAGGAAGATTCTAAATTCTCTTGGAGTAACCTAACTTAGAAATTTATCTGAATTACATAAGTTTCTTTGGACCCAATAGCAACACATTTATTCAGAGAGAGTAGAAGCAGTATTTATTGCAATGGTTTTTTATTGGTCTTATTATTTATTTATTTTTATTTGATTATTCTTCAAACTAACAGTGAGAAATAAAGTTCATATTAAAATAAAGAAATGAATGACCCATGGTCTTAGCCATCAGCACAGTGTTTAACAGATAATTTTTGTAAATCATACACACATACATACATACACCTCTATAGAATGATTTATAAAATCCTATAGAATTAAAACAATGCAGCATGAATATAAACAGTTTTGTTTTGGTTTTTATAGTTTTATAATTATAGGTTATCTATACTCCTGTAATGCAAATAGTATGTTAATCCAACTTTCTATCAGATACTAGGTTATATTTTGAAGCACAAGACTAATAATCAAAAGGTGCCACAATCCTTTCTCAACTATGTCTGCTTTGAAATATGAGTAGTTTTCTCCCTTGAAATCCAAGGTGTTGCAAATACTTACTATTTTATAAAATGTAAAGACTAATCATTGCAGCAGATGATGGTAAGCCTCTGTACATTATTGTAGAGTCAGATTGGACATCCCCTCTCTCTGGTTATTTACCTTGCTTTTGGGTGAACATTTTTTTTTTACTATCTGTTTAAAATGTACAAGAGTAAAACAAAGGAAAACAGTAATTATTAGCTCAAGGAAAATTACGTTAACTTTTCAAATACAATGAGTAAATTTTAAGTTATCCATGATTTTGAACTATTCACCACCTTAGACTACAAATGGACTAGCCATTCATAGCAACTACACTCACAAAGTAGATATTTGGCAGTTATTTTAAACTTTGTTAATGATTTATTTATTTTCTATTTTATGTGCACTGATATTTTGCCTGTATGCATGTCTGTGTGACAGTGTCAGATCTCCTGGAATTATAGTTACAGGCAGTAGTGAGCTGCCATGTGCGTGCGAGGAATTGAACCTGGGTCCTCTCCAGCCACTCTCCAGCAGTACTCTCCAGCCACTGTTTTAAACTGTTATTATATTACCTGCCACCTCCAGACACTGTTTTAAACTTACATTACCTGCCAACATTATCTCTTTAAAGTAGGAAAGAATATAAATTGTTTCATTTTTTTCCACACTACAAACAGAGAAACCAAGATTTTCATTTTTGCTTTAATAGCATTTATTTGTGAATAAGATTTCACATGCCATATATGGAATGGACTCTGACAATCACCATTAGTTCTGATCTCACTAATTTTGCTAATAATGTAAGAGACTTTACAAAGCAATTACTTTATATATTTATTATGAATAAAGAATGCTAAGGAAAGCATATAACTACCATGTTTTTAGGAATACATACAAATTTATGTACATGCATATATATATATTCCTGTAACAACATAAAAAGTAGGTCATTTTCCCCCTGAATGATCTTCAAATTGGTAGTCTAGACAGTTTGGTAAGGTAAGGTACAGACTGCAAGAACAAGGTGATCCTGGAAAAAGGAAGGGGAGGTGGAATAGGGATCCTATTTATAGCAGGGTTGGGAAGGTTGGGAGAAGACCAAGAAGTCTTTTTAAAATGTGAGGGTTGGGGATCTAGGGAGGGTACTGGATGGCTAGAAGTCACAAGACATGGAAGACAGAGTAAATGCAACATCAAGTCCAGAAGACCACAATAAGAATGAAGAGTTGCAAATGAAGCCCACCTTCTCTACATTGACAGGAAACACTCTTGTTGGCAACTGGAAAGTGGGCTGCGCCCAGAATGGTATAACCTGAGGCACTCGTAGGGGATAGTGTTCAAGGAAGTCACTGAGAATATGTAAAAGGAAGACTGAGGGTCACAATGGCTCCCCTGAGACTGGATGACATGTTTTTCTGATAGAACCAACCAGGATATTTCTCAGGGCTGTGAGGTCTGAGAGAAAGAATTCAGAGAGATGCTGGGGGTTTCACATTAAGATGGCTGAGAAGATTTGACATGAAGAAGCTATGAGAGGGTAACATTTCATGATCAAACCAGCCTTTCTGTTGTTTTGGGAGGGACAGTTGTCAATAGGTTACATGAGATGCCCCTTATAAAACTACTTTCAAAACCAGACTCTCAATGAAACACAAAGCTTCCTATTTCTGCTTTGTTCTTTCTGTGTGTATCTGACAGCTGAGTGAAAGTCAAATATGGCTGATTTGATGTCTTGGTTCTGGGAATACACTACCAGCTTCACAGCCCTGCCATTACTGAACGCAGGCGCATGCCATACAGCCTGGAGACTCAATGTGGTCCATGAATCTACAGCATCCACACCACTTGAAATCTGTCAGATATGAAGAGCCCCGAGTCTCACCCTGCAGTATCTGATCCTGCACTTTAACAAAATCTTGAGAATGTTCTTGCTTCGAGAGGCATCTTCAACCACTGTGTGTTCCCTGCCTTCCCATTGGAGTGATAATACCCCAGGTGTTAGTATTCAGGCATCTGTACCGGCCTGCCCTTGGGGTTCTCATGGGATATGCCCTCAGCTGCAACCACTAAGAGCACCACCTGTGCACATTCACTGTGTTCCCTTTCAAAAGAGCCCTTTCCACCTCCTGTCTCTCTCTCTCTCCCTCCCTCTCTCCTTCTCAGCCTCTCTGCCTTTCCTTGTCTCTCTCTCCCTTCCTTTGCCCTCCCTCCCTCTCCTCTCTCTCTACCCCGTCTGCCTCTATCTTCTCTTCTGCCTCTCCTGTCCACAGAGCCCCGTTGCTCCCTCCCAGCCCCCTTTACCATTCACTTTCTCCCAATTAAAAAACAAAAAACCCACCCAAGCTCTGTCACATGGCATTTTTCTCTCATGTGCCACTTTTCTAAATTCCAACACCAGGTTCAGTAGCTTCTCATGCAGAACATCCCCCGTTCCCCTTCTAGGCTACATCCAGGTGACTTTGATCATGTCAGGGCTTTTTCCTCTGGTCTGACTGCCAGGTAATTCATAATAAACGATTTGCTTTAAATAGTGGTTCTTGGTTGCTTTCCTTGTTGCTCAGATAAAACACCCCAACCAAAGCAGCTTCAGGAAGTATTTGTTTCGGGCCACCGTGGGAGGACACAGTCCATCATCATGGTCATAGTAGCAGCCGGAGCTTGAAGCCGCTGTTCATCTTGTTTCCACAGTCAAGACTCAGCCACCCCAAGGTTCAGGGAACATCACAGAAGCCAGGGCAGGGAGTATATAAGAGTATGAGGAGAAATGATGGGAAGTGCTGTCCTCTGGATATGACATGGCTGTTGTACACACACAATTACAGCAGCTGTGGTTTTCTTCACAAGACTTGTACAATAGCAAGTCAGTTAAAATTCTCACCTGGGTCCTACCAGTAACTATTGGTAATAGTTGTCTGTTTAGGGAGAACTACCCACTTTGTCTCAGAGGACATGGCAATTAGTATATTGCCCATGGCCAAGGATTGGCCCCAGACCCATGCAGATACCAGCCACCCAGCACTAACTGGGCAAAAGAGGCGGGTATGAAATTGGGGTATGTGTCACATGGGCCTAGAGAAAGCTTAGAAAGTAGGGGGATTAGATATGATCAAAATATGTTGAACCTATGAACAAAATGTTCACATAACTTAAGCATGGAAGTCTGCGTTCAGTTTACTTTCTACTTTTTATATAGTTTAGGAGCCTAGACTAGGGAAGGTTGCCACCCACCATCAATTAACCTAGTCAAGATAGTATTCTGCAGGCCAAAATGTCCACTTGCCAGATGATTACATATTCCATCAAATTCACACTGAGATTAGGCATCACACATGGTGAAGCCATGCCTATGTCTGTGGGATAAGGATTTGGTATAGGTGTAAAAACACAGGCAAGGCGTGACTTCAGACTAGTGTGGAGCCACTGGTAGAAACCCCTTCTGCTTTGCTGAACAGCACAATCTAATCATGAGACTGAAATGTCTTTATATTACAAACCTTTTCCCAACTCAATGGGAGAAAGTATACAGGTCAAGGCAAGGGTCAGAAACCTGGGACCATATTAAAAATCTTTTTATTACATGTTCCTGCACTGCTCATTGTTTCAGAATGGTTTTGATGTCCTTTTGTCATCTGGACTTCCATTTAAATCTTAGAATCTCAGATTGTTAATTTTTTTCAAATATCTTGTCACAATTCTCAGTGTTATTGATTAAGGACTGACCTCCTGGCTACATTGAGATTTCCTACCAGTAGCGCAGGTTGTCCATGTACTAAATTTGTCTTTCGCTCAGAATTATATTTAGTTAACAACTTGTACAGCTATTCATAATATTTGCTGAATCTAATTTCATGCTTTTGGAAGCTATTGTGCACTATTATATTTTTGTATATTC